TTTATACATTTTTAAAAATATATTTAAATATTAAATAATATTATTTAATTTTTTAATATATAAATATTAGTTATATATTAAATAATTAATATATAAATTATATATAATTAATTAAAATATTTTATATAATATTATTAAAAATTAATTAAATATAATAATTATAATCTCATATGGGTGTTTTCAAATTTTCAATGTTTAGTTGAGTCGATTAAAACCAATATTGTAACTCAAGTTGAGTTCCTATAGTAATCGAAAAAGCCATAAGGAAATCCCACGCCGTGCGACATGCGACTTACTACCGAGAGCAGTCAACTTGACTTCGTTTGTTGCTTAGACAAGGACTGGTCAGCATTTTACTCGCTAAGTGGCTTCGGTTGAACCATAACACCACTTGGCGTGCCAGATGCAAATTGAACTTAAATTGACTCTGTCATCGACAAATTTGTCTGAATGACATCGGATGAAGAAACAGACCTAATTTCACAGGAAAAAAAGAAGTTGTGCATTTTCTAATGGCTCAGTGTACGGAGCGAATTACATAAACATATAACTTAAAATTTAAAAAAGAAGGAAAAAAAGAGACTACTTGAACCCACACACACACAATCCTCTCTCGTCTCTGCCCATTCTCCCGAATAGAACCCGAAACCCTTGCTTCCTCACGTGAAAAAAAGCCCGTCTCACCTCTAGTGCTGCTTGACCGAGCCCCACTCCCTGTACTCTCCATTTCCTTGGTCCCTATCTGCCACTTTCCCCACTCTGTCTGTCGCCCTCTCTGCTCGCCACTACCGCTGTCGCCACTCCTCCGATCCCTATCATCTTCTCCTCGTAGGTTTTGTGATATGCAACTCCTTTTTTTCGGCTATAAATACTCCAAGGGTGGCTATTTGAAAGACTGATCTTCTTTCTTGCTCAATTCTTCTTCCCATTTTGATCTAAGTTATAGAGCGTTTCTTCAAACAGTCCGATCATCAAGCCTGTAAGAAATTTCTTCTTCTTCTTCCCATTTCGATCACATATGGTCTTCACTTCTTAAAGATAATCATTATTCTTCTTCTTACCCAACTTCAATATGTGAGATATGCACATTAAAATTAAGATGCATTACTTATTTGCTCTACTCTTTATCAAATTTGGGTAAAATCTCTATTAAAGTTTACAAGTTTGCTGTTTGTTTATAAATGGAGGCTGTTTTGACGAATTTGCTTGTCCTACCTTCCATACTATCAGGCTGAGGTGGATGTTGTTTTAGTCACACTATAGTTTACAAACTTGCTTCTCCAGAATTTTAACGAACAAAACACTTATGAAAGTCTTTGAAATTGTTTTATGATGTTGATAGCTTCCTTGAGCAGGTTTTGATACTATTGTGAGCTATACCTGAGCTTGGTTTGCATTTAATCTTTTTTGTTTTTTTTCTCTTTCTTCCTCGATAATTCTTGGGACAGCTTATTTTTGGAATATTTATTCTTCCCTGAATTGCTTGAGTAGCTTGAAAGCTTATCACTTTGAAAGAGGGTTAAAACCTTGTGGCTCTTGATTCATAGAAGTTTGAAAGCTTGGGATTCTTTGGAATGCTATACTATCAGTATAATTTTGATTTATAGAATCTGAAAACTTTGTAAAATCTATTTTGAACAATTTAAAATTATGATAATTTTTTTTATAGTAATTTAAAATTTTTAAGAAATACTTATGGATTTTCTACTTAGAATGCCTATTTTATAGTAATTTAAAATTTTTAAGAAATACTTATAGAAATTCTTTACAGGCATATCGCTCAAATCTTTATCCTCACATCGAAAATACCTGACAACAGAAATACCACATCACTATCATTTTAGAAGTGGAATACTCTTTTTCACGCATAGGTTTAAGTGTCAATATCTAACTTTTGTCTTTGATATATAAATAGATAAGAATTGTGTGGTATATATGTCAATTTCCCGTTGTTTTATTATGTAAGATCGATTTACGAAAGCTAGTAATTTGAAGGTTTATTAGAAGAAGGTCAGTGATAAAGATGGGTTTCTGGAAGGGGGTAACACCTGTCTAGGAGTTTCTAAATGTTTATAATCTTTAGTTTATGTATATTCAAATATCTTGTTCTCTTCTGATGTTGAATTTGAAGTTTTCTTTCACACTTGCTGTCGTTCTAAAGGACTGTACTTACTGAAGGGACATTTTAATTTGAGTTGAGTATATGGTGGAGTCCATGCGAAAATTTAATTCTTTGTGTTGGATATATAAACGTATGTGAATATTCCTTAATTTTTGCTGACAGAAAGATGACTTTCTCCTGGTGAATTATTGGTTTGCTCTCATAATTTCAAATTGAGCAGTTCTAACTGTGCACAGGTGGTGTTCCATTTGGTAATTTTGATTCCGATGTATCCTAATCCCTTTGAATTTTCTATTAACACGATTTTATTATGAGTAACGAGTTATTTCTTACTTTTATTTTTTATACTGCTCTTTCCTATGTGTGCAGTTTGACAGTGGCTCTTATGCCACATGGAATAGTCAATGAACAGTCAGTTTTTAGGAAAAAAATGAAAGGATCTAGGTGTGTTTACATACATACCACCAAATTCTATGTATTTACGTATCTATCAACCAAATCATGATGTAGAAATGCAGTTTCACTTTATTGCCTATGACTTATTTATATAAGTCGAGCTTGGATTAAAATGTATATACCTATATGCTACTAGGAATAAACGTATGCATATCCTTAACAATCTTCCATATGCTTGTATTCTTGCAAAATTTAAATTTAAGAGCTGTGTGTACAGATTTTTTTTATATAAGCGTACATGTAACACTTGAAAATCGTGATGCACTTACATGCATTATGAAAATCTGAAATTATACGATTTTTGTGCATTTACATATCTCGACATTTAAACTTCGCCTTCTACATGCGTGCCATTTTATCCATGTGTGAAAGGGTGTATATCACTTTCCTTGTAAGTTAAAACAATGGCATTCTTGATATAGTATGAAAAGATTTGGTTGACAAAAATTCGAAAGAGTAAAGCTTTGGAGTTAAATATGTGTATACGTAGGGATTGAGTAGTATGTATGCTAATCTTTAAATCTTTCTAATCTTCTTATATCCTTACCTTAATATTAATTGAGGAGATGCTTAGCTTAGGTGGAAATATTCATAATGCTACAGTGTCATATGGACTGTCGAGCGAGACTATAGGTTGAGATTTTTTGGGATAAGGGAGATGATGAGAAAAGCATATAGATATGTGGGAAATATTGGATATCCTAACCGGATGACTACTAGAGGGTCATGGTTTGGAACTACTGTTCTTTATCATTTGGTAAAGAGTCACCCCTTGCTTTTATGGGTTGTTGGCAGCTCCAGTCCGATGGTGTAATTGACCCATAAACTATGCGTGAACATAAAACACATTTTTCTGATAAAATTCATGTTTGTCTTTTAGATGAAAAGTATAAATTTGTTATATATATGTGACAAATTAAGGCTTTTTCAGTGTTACTTTCTGCAAGTTCGTGGGTCAGTCGCATTGACCAGGCTAGGAGTTACCCTTCCTTGATTGCCTTGCGGGTAGCCTTTCGCCCTATGTTGGATGTGACATACACGATGTTGACAGTTGCTATGGATGTCCCTCGAGAATTGTTAGGGCTCCAATCCTAAATCTATGCCCCCTTTACCAAAATCCTTATACCCAGCTTTGATCTTCCATATATATGCCATATGATTTTTCTTACACATGTGCTAATATCTTCTAGTTTTAATTAATTTGTCATAGTATTTTGACAGCGATTTTATATATGCTTAAAAATATAA